GCCTCCCAAAGTGCTGGGATTACAGGCGTGAGCCACCGCGCCCGGCAGGGCTGACCCTTCTTAACCCTATTTTCCAAATAAGGAGTGGAGACGCAGAGCGCTGCTGGCCCTGGGAAGCAGGAGCTGTGTGAGGGCTGGAGCGGAGGTTGTCATAGGTCTCACCTGTCTCCAAGGCCCCAGCAACCCTGGAGAGCAGAGTGGGCCACGAAGGTTTCGTCGCTCATGCAGCAAGGTGCCCAGGGTGCTGAGAAGCCAGGCCGCGCTAGACCGTGGGCCAGTGAAAGGCCAGGGCAGGGCAGTCCTGGGGAGTGCAGCTGGACCTGTCCTCGCTCTGGTCGGCTCAGCTGCCCTGGACAGGTGGGGGCTCCTACCAGCTGCTCTCACCCTTGAGTCCCAGCCTCCCATTCTGGCCCTGACGCTGGGGGCAGTGGTACTCTCCTGGGTCACTGTGACCAGTTGGAGAGTGGCTTCTGGCCATGTGAGGTGTGCAATAAGCTAGTTTTGGGGACACTGCTTTTCTGAAACTGCACTTGCTCAGATGAAAGTGGGGTCCAGGCCCCTCACTGCCCAGACACAGAGGACAGGATAGGGGGAGACTGGGCTGGAGGCAGCTGGTCCATGGAGGGCCATGCTCCAAAATCTGAACTTGAGAGACGCACACTCATCCTCAGGTGGTGCGGGGCCCAGGGCTGCGGGTCACCAAACGATCCCATGTCATTCCAGAGCCCAAATGACCTGTTGCAGGTTCAGACACCTGCGTCCTGACAGAAACAACTGGTCTACAGCACAGGGAGAGGTGTGGACAGGGCTGCGGAGGAAGCCCCGGTCTCCGAGGAGAGAACACAGCCTGTGAGGACTCCCTTGCACCCTGGGCCACGTCAGGGCACTCGGGCTTCACTGCGAGCTTCTGTGGCTCTCACCTGCCAGCATCCCTGCCCCATCCTGGTAGCTGCACCATGGGCCCTTCAAGGAACCCCCTCTCTGCTGGGTCCAGGCAGATGAGATAATCGGGGCAGTCTCCCTTCTGGGGTAGGCCCGAGGCTCCGAGGCCTGGGCTGGACAGGTCAGTATGTGCCCCTCCCCCAGTGTGCTTGGCACAGGGCTGAGACCCACATCAGGCTCACATGACTCAGGGGCAGAGCCAACCTCCCACTGGGTCTGCTGACTGCAGGGGGTGACTTGGAGTCTCCTAGGACCATTGCAGGCTGAGTGAGGGTATGGCCAGTTCAGAGACAGCAGAGCCATGAAAGGGGCAACTCGCCAGGTGGCCCTGATCTGTTGAGTCAGGAGGGCCAAGGAATCCCCACTTTTGCTTGTCGCTTTGACTTCATTTTCTGCTGTCTGCATCAGAAAATTCTAGCAAGTACACCTACCGGCCAGGACACAGCTCCTCTGGGGTTCTTTAGGTGTCAGCTGCCAAAGGACCCCACAAACCACATGGAGGAGACCACATGACAGGTCCCCAGGTGGGCGGGGCTTCCCCTGTCACGCTGGTGGCCGCACTCCACCCCTCCACCCTGCACGGCCTGAACCCTTGCTGTCCTATGGAAACACAGGGTGAGTCCACATGCACTTCCGCATTTACCAGGAGCTACGCTAGAAAAGCAGAAGTAGCTGAAATGCAGACTTAACTTTATATTTTATTTAACCCCACATATCCAAAATATTATTTCAACAAGTCTTCTACATAAAAAATTATTCATGAGCTGCCCCGCCTCACACAGCCCTTTGTTCTCTGAGAACGTCAGGAAAGGCAGAGGCTGAACAGGGAGGCTTCACCCGCAGGGTCCAGCTCACCCGGGGAAGCTATGCTGGCCCCAAGGGACTTACACAATGAAAAGATGAAATTCTGAAACAAAGTATCTACACTAGCCCAGAGAACTTAAAAAGTGAAAGGATGAAATTCTGAAACAAAGTATCTTTAGGACGCAGATACCACTCAGTACTGAGAAAGACCTGGCTACTGCTGTCAGCACAGGGACCCCTGGGGGCTGGAGAGCCCGCTCTGGAAAGCACTCACTGCACACAAATAGACATATGAGATGGAAAAGGGGCTGCCCAGGGCTGAGGGCTGTCAGCCCTGGGTGGGGAAATTATGGATGGTGTCTGTTATCTTTTTAGATATATATGCTAAAAAACCATTAATTTAATAAAATTGTTCAGTGAGATATTTTATATTCTTCTTCTTGTACCAAGTTTTCTAAACCTGTGTACTTTACACGACCAGCACCTCCCAATTCCGACAGCCACAACTTCTCAGCCCTTGCGTGAGGCCTGTGGCCCCCACTGGTCAGCACAGGTGGATCTGAAGGCCCCTGTCAGGGTCTCTGCTGGTCTGCAGCGAGCACACAGGGGCTGAGCGACATTGACAGCCCAAAACTGTCCAGCACTCGATGTCATCCCAGTCCTCACATACCACGTGAGCACAGCAGGACAGGTGTGACCCCTCCCCCAGTGGAGGCGACTGAGGCTCAAGAATGGAAGTGACCCCCCCCAGCTTGGAGAGAGTAGGGTTTGAACCCAGGAGTGTCTGGGGTCCTGCACGGTGACCCGTGCCCCAGGCAGACTCATTACTGAGTCTCCAGGTGGCTCCCACAAGGAGTTAGGGAAGGAGGCCTCCAGGCCGGCTCTGTGACCCCTGACCCCGCACCTGCCCACCAGGGGACAGACCTCAGGGACACCTGACCTTTGCTCAGCGTTCTCCAGGGGACAAAGGCAGCCCTCAGGTAAGACTGGAGCCCAGCGGGGAGGACCCGGAGGCCCGAGACGGCGGGAGTGATTCCCAGGGCGACGCAGCTCTCAGGCAGGGCGGCAGGAGCAGCCCCTTCCTCCCTTTGAGGCGGCCACGCTGCGCGCCCACCTTCCCAAGAGCAGAGGGCGGGAAAGGTCAGACGGGGGAGGCAGGGCCGGGCAGTACGCCGGTCACCCACCTGCGAGGGAGGACGCT